ACAGTTCTTTTCAGCTCTGGAATCCCAAGAATTTCCGGGTTGACTAGGAGAAAGAAGAGGAGAAGGGTGGCTGACCATATGAATGCGCATATGGACAATGCATCTCAAGTAAGTGACCTTGCTTTCTCCTCCCATGATTATCAATATGAAGTTCACAGACTGGGTGTGTGACCTCTGTAGTCCCTATTTTATGCAAGTTACCTGAATGAAGACCTTGATTCATCAGAAACAGGGAATGTAGAGGACTGCTCTGCTAGGAGCTGCATAATGCCTGGAAGCCTCTGTGAGGGGCAACTGCAGAAGCAAGGATGGTGCTTCAGTTGGCCTTTCTGCCTTGAACTCCTGGGGAGTATATTCAGCTCACATCTGATGGTTCTACCTCTGCTTACTAACAATCAGGCCTGACACTATAATCTGTTACCTGCAGCAACAAACCGGGGTGGAAATAGCTATAACTAGGTACCTTCCTGCCATGGAGGCAATCGGGTGAAGGGTGCTCCTAAAGGATCTGCTCCCAGACAAATAAAAATCAAAGCATGCTTGATGTCCAGGGTGAGTAGGGTAGCATAATCCTTAGATAATTGTGGTTTATGGAAAAATACCAGATGGCTGATTATTAAGCTCATATGACTGAAAATATATAAAGTTGGTACCACTTTAGGTTCAAATGGGTACACCTAACAAGAAGGATCAGCTCTAAAGTCATAAATCTCTTTGACTATTTGATGCAACAGATGCTAAAATGTTTACCTTTGCTGCAAATGCAGTAAGTCATAACCATAAGCTCAAAATGTGGTGGTTTTTTTTTTTTTTAAATATGATGTGAGCAGCTCATTAAAATCCATTGTAGGTACTGGGCTAAAAATCTCCTGAAGTCAAAACAGCTGTGGCCAGGACAGAATAAACACAGCTACCTTGGCTGATGTTTCTAGGTATCTTCAGGAGGCACCAGATTGGATGAAAGAGCTGACCAGCACACAGAGAGTATTGGCATGTCATGAAAGTGGCCAAAGCATGACCCGCACTTGTGATCTACTAGTCTGGACTGGCTCTGGCTATCTGCTGCAATGTTTGAGATCTTGGAGCTGAACAGATAGTGGAAGTACACTTTCCAAAGCAAGTCCATGTTAAGGCAAAAAACGGAGATGATTCTGTCCCATGTAACATACAGTGATGTTCTCTGTCATAAGCTAATGCCTGGGAGAAATACCCATATTGCTATTTCCACAGCTCACATCTCTAGTGATTGCTGCAGGGAGGAAATGGTCCTAGTGGACTGCACAACTCGGCTCTCCAGGCAATGAGAGAGCTGCGTGCTCATTATAAATGGCTGGAAGGCTACTAAAAATGGAAGAGGAACCATCTGCAGAAGTCAAGTGATTCTTGCCACAACAAGGGAAAATACAGAACTAGGGAAAATAGGACCATAATTGCTTGTTATATGCCATGAATATAGACAGACCAAAGTCCTGCCTGTAAGCCACTCTTAGGAAATCAGGGATGGAATGTAATCATAGTATCATAGAATAGTTTGGGTTGGAAGGGACCTTTTAAGGTCATCTAGTCCAACCCCCCTGAAATGCGCAGGGACATCTTCCACTAGACCAGGTTGCTCAGAGCCCCATCCAACCTGACCTGAAATGTTGCCAGGGATGGGGCATCTACAACCTCTCTGGGCAACCTGGGCCAGTGTTTCACTGCCCATGTTGTCAAAAATGTCTTCCTTAGATCTAGTCTGAATCTACCCTCTTTTAGCTTAAAACCACTATCCCTTCTCCTATTGCTACAGGCCCTGCTAAAATGTCTGTCCCCATCTTTCTTACAAGCCCTCTTTAAGTACTGGAAGGCCGCAATAAGGTCTTCCTGGAGCCTTCTCTTCTCCAGGCTGAACAACCCCAACTCTCTCAGCCTGTCCTCACAGGAGAGGTGTTCCACCCCTCTGACCATTTTTGTGGCCCTCCTCTGGACCCTCTCCAACAGGTACGTATATAACATATTCCAGCCTGGAAAATTGGTCCTCAGTGTGATTTTCCAAATTACTTGAAGTGCTTCCTACACTGCAGAAAGAACTAGGCAGAGGTAAGCTTTAGCAGTAACAAAGTCCAGGGCAGTTCCAATGCACTTTAGAGTTTATATAAGCACTTCAATTGGTAGTAAAATAATTTGTAGGGATCTTGGGAGCCAGCTTTAAGGGAAGGGAAAAGAATTACATTCCTGTCTCTGAGGTGGGCTGCAAATAGCATTATTGATAAACCAAAAAGTCAGTGTCCAATGGCAAAACCTTAAGTTGTCCTGACACACAATGAGTTGAACATGTCTTGTGAAGGACTGAATTTCAGTGTGGAGTTTGGATTTCTGAAGACACTCGTAAAGATGGTATTACTGTCATTTGCACCATTACCCTGGCCTTAAACGTGCAAGGGAAATTACTGCACTTCCATAAAGAAAAGTCATTCAGTGCCATCTCTTTAGCGATCACGCTCTTTATTCTGAATCCAAGTGTTTTTCTCTGAACAGGGGAGATGAAAGACAGCTGGAAGCCCTTGGAGTCTTTCCGAACATTTTGAAAAAAGTCGGATGAAAATTCCTAGGAATCACTGGATGGCTCTAAAGAAAGGTTTCTTGTAGATCATCAGAGAAGAACAGTTTCTTGTCTGCCTCACAAGATTTAGATAAAAATCTAACAGGAAGGAAGTGTATTTATCTATTTTTCTCTATTTAAGATCTAGTCATGAGTCACAGGACCACACCATGACTAGGACACACATTAGGCCCCTGTAAGAGTCAGCCTAAGCTGCAGAGGTGGTCAGTCTTGCTGTAGCAAAATGAATGGCACAGGCAGTCATGTCTGACAGTAGTCCTATTCTCCTAAAGCAATCTCATGCAATCTTATTCTTAGCTTTGGCTGATATTGAAGGTTATAAAGACCATCACCACTTTAATAGCATGCAGCAAATGACAGGGGACTAGAAATTATCGTCTCAGGGCTTGCAATTGAAAGCATCTTTCATCAGACTACTAAAATTACATAAAGTCATCTACTTTTCCTGTTCTCACAAGACTGCCCACAGGAGGGTCAAAAATCGCAGTCCATTTACAAAAGCTGGTAACAAAGTTTCCTGAAGAGCCTTCCAGTACTTTCTAAAACAGCTACTTAGAAAGCATCTGAAGACACATGGAATTTGATGGAAATGCCAGTACACTTTTGAAATGTAGTAAGACTCCAGTTCTGAGCATCAGAAATCAGTAGAAATAAGCAAGTATAAAAGCCCTTAAGTAATAAGTCTCGCACTCAGATCTCACTTACTAATTAAATTTCTTTTCAGCTCTAGTTAACATTTTCCTAAGGAATCAGTTGTTCAAACACAGCATGTCCATAAACTCTCAGCTCTTGGCTGATACCTGCTAATACAGGAGGTACTGAAGAGTTAAAAAAAGTATTTTGCAAACTGAATTTTTAACTACGTCCCTAAACCTATTTCTAGAGCCTATATTCAGCTTGGAACTTGCAGATCTGGTGTAACTATGAAGCTTGTTGCTAATCATAACTTTTTAGTTCTATTTGCCTGGACTCTTGTAAGCAGTGTGAGCTTATTCAGATTGGATAATTACTTTTATCAGAGGGTGAGGCAGTAACACAGTGCATTATGTTGCTCAGTCCCTCTAAACCATGTTGTACATGCTGTTAGTGGCTGGGCAACCTCACCATTTAGACCTAGAGGACTGGATTTTCCGGTGGCCTAGAGACCTTTTGCACATTTTTTTTCCTGACTTCCTCTGAGACTGTGGGTCTTATTGAAATTACAGCTAAAAGTGTTAATAGCACCTTTAGAAAGCAAGATGAGCTGCCTCATAGCTTTTGTTAGATTAATTTAAACAGTGCATCATTAAACAATAAATTGATATGGGCTGCTTGCTAGGTCTGCAAACAAATTAACAATCATAGATAATCTAAAAATAAAGGAACATATGCCCAGGTTTTCACATGAGGGAAAATATTTTACCTCAATAGTATCATCTAATACTGTTTGAGAGTTATAACACGGTGCCATTTCCTACATGGTGGTTGTATGCTGGCCTATGGTTAAGCGGATGGTTTGTCCTGGGTGACGAGATACAAGTGAGATGGAAACTTTATAAATATTGTCACCTACTGCAACTATTAGCCCAGTAATCAACTAAATATTCAAAGTGAAGCTTCTGGTTTCCCAGAGGTGGTCCTTCCATATACATGTGGATGCTTACAGCCAGAGCTGAGCTTGCCAAAGGCTATCAGGACAGAGTCTGCAACAAACTCAATGGTTTTAAGAAATGAAATAGTGACCAGGAGGGAAGAGAGCAGAATCTTGTCCTGCCAGAATTTCTTCTGTGGATAAAGAATCCCTGTCTTGTAAATGGTTCATTGGGTACATCTCATCAATGCTCACTATGTTTAAAACGCAGTGGAAATAATCACTAGGGCATCAGAATGGAAAATACAGAGTAATAAACCACCTGAAAAGTTCAAAACCACTGGCATCATTCAGCAGTCTGTGCTACCCTGTGCTCTTTGTCACATGAAAAGAGTCCGTCCGATGTCCAGCCACTCCACCCTTTCTATTCCCAAAAGGTCATTCTCACTAATGGCCATAAACGTAACATGAAGAAGACAAGCACAAGGGTGCGCAATGGGTTAACTGAGAGCAGAAGCTAAAGCATTATCATCACTGTTCAATGCGTTTCCTCATCCCTTCCACTCTCAGGCTCCAACAACACAGAGAAACAAGCCATGCTTCAGTCTTGAAAGAAGAACATATGGAAGCTCACTAGGCAC